TGCCAAGCAGTGCGTCGGTGCGCGCCCGGGATCCGAACCAGCGAACCCCGGTCCGCCGCAGCGGAGCGCACGCACTTAACCACTTGCGCCACCGGGCCGGCCCCCAATTTTTATCCATTTTCTTAGTGTGGTTTTAATTTGCATTTCTCTAATTATGAGTGAGATTTTGCTTTTCCTATATTTAAGGGCCACTTTAATATCCTTTTCTAATGTGTGAATTGTCTATTCACATCTTTTGCCCACTTTTCTGTTTGCTTTTTGAACTTTTTTTCCTCAATTTTCAAGAGTTCTTTGTATATTGAAGATATTAACACTTTACTGTAATATGTGTTGCATGTATTTTCTCTCAGTTTGTCACTTGTCTTTTGACCATGTTTATAATCCTAGGAGCTAGAAAATAGATGTATATATACTAACCCATGTATACACACATATCTATAATTATTTCTGTATCTATCCATCTGTGTATATTTTAAGATAAATGAATTCATACTGATATTCCGATACCACATGGTTCATTCTAGTGTGGGGGCAGAAAAATTTTCCTACTACCTTTCTAGGTTCTTTGGCTGGTCTAATAATTAAATTGACATAAAACAGATTAACAGGAGAAAAATAAATTTAATTTTGTATGTACAGGAACCCCATAAAAATATGAGACCCCAAGGCAGTCAGGCAATTGAGGCTTATATGCCATCCTGAGCTAAGGAAAGGGCTAGGGGCATGAGGCTTCAAAGGGGAGGAGGGCGATTCATAGGACAAGAAGAAGAGCAGATGTTTGGTAATCAGATGTTTGGTTTGCCATGCAGGTAAGTCTTTCAGATAAAAAGTTATCTCTGGTTTGATGTAATCCCATTCGTTTATTTTTTCTTTTGTTTCTCTTTCCTGAGGAGACACGATATTCAAAAAGTTACTGCTAACACTGATGTCAAAGAGCATACTACCTATCTTCTTCTGGGAATTTTATGGTTTCAGGTCTTACATTCAAGTCTTTAATCCATTTTGAGTTAATTTCTGTGTATAGTGTAGGATAATGGTACTTTCATTCTTTTGCATGTGGCTCTCCAGTTTTCCCAACATCATTTATTGAAAAGGCTTTCCTTTTTCCATTGTACGTTCTAGGCTCTTTTGTCAAAAATTAGCTGTCCATAGATGTATGGGTTTATTTCTGGGATCTCAATTCTGTTCCATAGATCTGTGTGTCTGTTTTTCTGCCAGTACCATGTTTTTTTTGATTACTGTAGCTTTGTAGTATATTTTGAATTCAGGAAGTGTGATACCTCCAGCTTTGTTCTTTTTTCTCAGGATTGCTTTGGCTATTTGAGATCTTTTGTTGTTCCATATAAATTTTAGGATTATTTGTTCTATTTCGGTGAAGAATGTCTTTGGGATTCTGATTGGGATTGCATTAAATCTATAGATTGCTTTAGGAAGTATGGACATTTTAACTATGTTAATTCTTCCAATCCATGAGCATGGAATATCTTTCCATTTCTTTATGTCTTCTTCAATTTCTTTCAACAATGTCTTATAGTTTTCACTGTACAGGTCTTTCACCTTCTTGGTTAAATTTATTCCTAGGTATTTTATTCTTTTTGTTGCAATTGTAAATGGGATTGTATTTTTTATTTCTCTTTCTGCTAGTTCATTGTTAGTGTATAAAGATGGAACTGATTTTTGTGTGTTGATTTTGTACCCTGCAACTTTACTGTACTCGTTAATTATTTCTAATAGTTTTTTGGTGGATTCTTTAAATTAAAAAGCTTCTGCATGGCAAAGGAAACCATCAATAAAACGAAAAGACAACCTACCAACTGGGAGAAAATATTTGCAAATCATCTATCTGATAAGGGATTGATATCCAAAATATATAAAGAACTCATACAATTCAACAACAAAAAAACAAACAACGCCATCAAAAAATGGGCAGAGGATATGAACAGACATTTTTCCAAAGAAGATATACAGATGGCCAATAGGCACTTGAAAAGATGTTCACCATCACTAATTATTAGGGAAATGCAAATCAAAACTACAATGAAATATCACCTCACACCTGTCAGAATGGGTATTATTAAAAAGACAAGAAATAACAAGTGTTGGAGAGGATGTGGAGCAAAAGGAACCCTTGTACACTGGTGGTGGGAATGTAAATTATGTAGCCACTATGAAAAACAGTATGGAGATTTCTCAAAAAATTAAAAATAGACATACCATATGATCCAATTATTCCACTTCTGGGTATTTATCCAAGGAACATGAAAACACTAATTTGAAAAGACAGGGCCGGCCCCGTGGCTTAGCGGTTAGGTACGCGTGCTCCACTGCTGGCAGCCTGGGTTCGGATCCCGGGCGCGCACCGACGCACCGCTTCTCAGGCCGTGCTGAGGCCGCGTCCCACGTACAGCAACTAGAAGGATGTGCATCTATGACATACAACTATCTACTGGGCCTTTGGGGAAATAAATAAATAAATAAATAAATAAATAAATAAATAAATAAAAAAGAAAAGACATATGCACCCCTTTGTTCACTGCAGCATTATTAACAATAGCCGAGACTTGGAAGCAACCTAAGTGCCCATCAATGGATGACTGGATAAAGAAGATGTGATATATATATACAATGGAATTCTACTCAGCCATAAAAAAAGACTACATCTTGCCATTTGCAACAATATGGATGGACCTTGAGGGTGTTATGCTAAGTGAAATAAGTCAGACAGAGAAAGGCAATTACTGTATGACTTCACTCATATGTGGAAGATAAATAAGCAAACAAACACATAGATATGGAGAACAGAGTGGTGGTTACCAGAGGGGACAGGGGTGGGAGGAGGAAGAAAGGGGTAAAGGGGCACGTGTACGGTGACAGATGGCAACTAGACTTTTGATGGTGAACATGGTGCATTCTATACAGAAGTCAAAATATAATGATGTACATCTGAAATTTATATAATGTTATAAACCAATGTGACCTCAATAAGAAAAAATTTATCTCTGGTAATAGCTCTCTTTTTGGCCAAGCCCCCATCTAAATTCTTTTAGGCAGTTAAGGGAGAGGTAAAAGTTTTTCTTGAGTCTGCTGGGTCTTGATTGCCTTCAGCTTAAAATAATACGCATACCAAAGTGACACATTTTGGGGTGGCATATTCTGCTCCCCTTCACTAGCCTTCCCTTCTTGCTATCTGTAGCCTCCCACTTCAACGGTGAGAAACCTGTCTCCAACCATCCCTCACCCATTTACTTAATTGTTCAATCCCAGTATATGTGTATAGCAATATCAGAATTGTTAACCCATACCCCTGTGGGAAACAAATTTACCAAAATTAAGTGCTTTTTTGTCGTTCCTTTTGTCTTTTGCCTTGGAGTTTCCAGTCAAAATGCTATTTCCCAAGGTTACTTAAGTCAGCATGTCTTCTCCCCACCCCCTTCAGTGAGGTTATGTCATACATTTATAATGCAGTTAGGTTGTGTTGTCACAGTCTCCATTCCATACTGGGATTTCCTGACTTCCTGGTTGATTTTTTAAATTTTCACATATTAAGATGCATGCTTTTTGTGCTGTAAAGATATATGGGTTTTCACAAATGCATTTTAAAGTTTTCCTCACATAGATTTTTTTTCCCACATTTCTTGTTAGGTTTCTTCTTAAGGTATATTATCTTCTTTGTTGCTATTGTAAATGGGGTTTTCTCTATCATTATATCCTCTAACTGATTATTTGTATATATGAAGGCCATTGATTTCTCTATGTTACTTTTATATACTTCCACTTTACTGAATACTTTCATTGTTAGAGTTAGTTTTATCATTGATTCTCTAGGGTTTGCCAGGTACAAAATCATATCATCTGAAAATACAGATATCATTAGTTCTTCTTTTCCAATTCATGTACCTCTAATTGAGTTATCTTGTCTAATTACCACTTTCCACTGACAGAGACCAGGGCTCCTTGTTGAAATGGCTAATTCCAGGGCTGGGGCAGAGAAAGTATAAGAAGAGCCTGGAGTATCTTGTTTTATCTTCTGAATTCATTTGCCACTGAATGAATTTGAATTTTAAAAGGACCCATGAATCCAAACTAATCTAAGTAAATAAATGGAGGACAAGGGAAAACTCTTCCTACAGGGGAATGCCAACTAATAAATGTAGAAGGAATGATGGAATTAGAAAATCACTATTTGGCAACCACCACTGTGTGAAATGAGTAAGAGAAACCTCAACTAAATTGGAGTCAGGAAGGCCTGTAGAGGGAGCTCTCAATCCCTATCAAAAGTCATCAATTACTCCAAACAGGAAAAAACTTATGCTTGCATCTCAAGCAGAAAGTACAACTACTGGGCCGGCCCCGTGGCTTAGCG